GCAACGAGGCCACTAAGCACTGAAAGGTTGTGCGGGACGCGACGCTTGTGCTCATCAAGCCTAGGATACACATCCCTCGGTGCTACGGACGTACTGTCCGACGTTGCACCGCGTGCGGGAGAGGATGTTGGGCTCTGCCTATGCTCGCCGTCAGAACCGGCGAGACATGGAGATTTTGGTGTCATTGACACAGAGCTCACAGAGCAAGGAAGTCGTTTTATTCCAACAAATTAAGTTGCAGTGTCTAGCGGACACGCGAGTCTCGTTGAGGCAATAATTCATGAAACTGTAACTGTTCTCAATCTTAATGAGGAAGGGTCTAACGGGGTGACACGTACCCTGGTAACAGGGGTGTGTGTCACACGAGATGTGCTTGGTGTGAATGCACCCAAACAAGAATACGGTATGTGGCTAGGTAGCCAATAGTTATGCATGTATTTACTTCTTACTATACATACTTAGTATATTTAGAAAAATCTATACCTTCAAAGTTAGGCGGTTTAGCCGCAAGAAAAATAAAAATCATTTTTGGATTTTAAACCGAAGAATTACTTAGCCTTGGGAAGGCAATAATTACTCTTGAAGTAAGCGGATTGCAATCCGCCAACTCATACTTGGTTCTTGTAAAGATAGAAAGGTCGGGTTACCTAAAGTACGCTTCCTCGAGCGCTAAGCTACGGCAGCCGCGCTACACAATCCCCGGAATGGCACGTCTAAGTTGGCGTATTTTTGGATGACATGATTGTCACAGCGATCACAAGCAGGGAGATCAACCAGGCTTTAGAAATAGTTTAGAAATGCATTTCGAATGAAAGAATTGAGCATAATGGGCTGCATTATTCGCAAGAATGAGAAAAAATGAATTTTGAAGGTCATCTGTATCAACACGAGGCGTCAGCTTACAAATAGTTACATAGGCACTCGGAGCGAAGATGCTCGCACTTATATGCGAGGCAGCGGGTGTCAGGACCAAGCCAATGCCAAGGATATCCAAGCTTTAACTGAGAGAAGGAGAGTGGAGATAACACCACTCAATAACTGTTGACGAACGCGCGGCTTACTGCAGGTCGAATGGAAACAGGAACGTGCGGCCACACGTCTATTTTACATGCATAAGTATTACATTTTGTTCGTTTACCAGATTATCCTCATTCTTAAGGTTTGGAGCCGTGATTGATGGTTCAGTTCCTCCAAGGGACAAGGTTTGATCACACGGTGCTTAGGGCTCACTACTGGGTACCGCTTGCTTTATTGGTGTATTGACCAGATTGTAAAGTTTTACAGCCGAGAGTATGGCAATATGAGAACGAGAAAGAAAATGGGGCATAATAAACTTGTCAGTTCGGATTTACCATCAAATTAATAGTTATACACATAGAATCAGTCAACAGTGTCAAGATAACGGAACTCTTCATCTATATCTTGCAACAATCAGCTTTTCATATTTAAAAAAACCTTGTATCGAGTTATGTCGAGCTTCCTATGTATATTTGCTATCTGCGGCATGCCACCCTTGTGTTCCAACCTCTGCAATACGGCCACAAACACCGTATACAAATTTATGTAGTTGTATCGTCAGAAAATCCTACAGTGCAATATACGTGGACCGGCCAATGCAAGTCCGACATTAAATAGAAAGATTTTGTATGCATTAATCGATTTTTGTGTGTAGATTACAAAGTCAAGTTATCACAAGTAGCCGATCGAAGTATTTCTAGCGGGAAATTATACAAATGC